AGCCAGCAGGTGGACATCCCCCAAGGGCTCCCAGACTGCGAGAGGGCACAGGCCGGGCTAAGGGACCCCCCACCCCCCAGTGCACAAATTTTTTGTGCACCGGCCTCTAGTCCTATCTAATAAAAGAGAAACATGGTAATTGTCGTACGACTGCTACCCTTCCCATTGGCTAATCAGGGCGATATGCAAATTAACTGCCAGCCAAGATGGCAGTTAACCGCTAACAAAGATGGCGGCTAATTTGCATACTCGAAATGATGGAATGCGAAAGGGGAAGGATGGAAGACAATGATCAGAAAGCTAGGCGCAGGCAAGAGCAGGGAGTAGGGCAAAGGTCGGTCCTGGAGGCGACCTTTGCCCTGACACCAGTGGGTGATTGGAGAAGTCTGGCGGGTGGGGCAGGGAAGCGGACACAGATAGTGATGCAGAAGCCGGATGCAGGGGCAGGGAAGCAGCTGCCGCCAGCATCCCAGCTTCCCTGCCCCGCACCTGGCTTCTGCAATCAGTGACCGCAGAAGCCCAGTGCAGGGGTGATCACAGAAGCCGGGTACAAGGGCAGGGAAGCAGCCGCCCCCTTCGTATCCGGCTGCAGCTTCCCTGCCCCCCACCCGGCTTCTCCGTTCTGTGACAGCAGAAGCTGGATGCGGGGCAGGGAAGCAGCCTCCGCCCGCGCCCTGCCCACGGCTTCCCTGCCCCGCACCTGGCTTCTGAGATCTGGTCAGGGAAGCAGCCGCTGCCACCATCCCCGCCCGGGGCTTCCTTGCCCCGCACCTGGCTTCTGAGATCTGGTCAGGGAAGCAGCCGCTGCCACCATCCCCGCCCGGGGCTTCCTTGCCCCGCACCTGGCTTCTGAGATCTGAGAGACCACAGACGCCAAAGCCCGGCGGGGGGACTATCCCAGAAGCTGGGTGTGGGTCAGGGAAGTGTCTGCCACCAGTGTCCCTGGCCGCGGTTTCCCCAGTCTGCGATCTGTGACCGCAGAAGCTGGGTGTGGGGCAGGGAAGCAGCCTCCACCAGTGCCTGGCCACGGCTTCCCTGGCCTGCACTGATCGGTGACCACAGAAGCTGGGTGAGGGGGCGATCGCAGAAGCTGGGTGCGGGTCAGGCCAGTGTCCTGGGCCGCAGCTTCCCTGCCCCGCACCCGGCTTCTGTGATCCGTGACTGCAGAAGCTGGGTGCAGGGCAGGGAAGCAGCTGCTGGCAGCATCCCCCACCGCGAATTCCCTGCCCCGCACCCAGCTTCTGCAATGGGTGACCGCAGAAGCCCAGTTCAGGGGCGATCACAGAAGCCAGGTGCTGGGCAGGGAAGCAGCCTCAGCCAGCTTCCCCAGCTGCGGCTTCCCTGCCCCACACCCGGCTTCTGTAATTGGTGATGCCTATTTTTGCATGACACTTAACTGACTACCTGCCCTGGAAGCACAGAAGAAGCCCCCAGAAGAAGAAGCCACCCACCTTTGGTCCTGGCGACAGCGCCTGGGGCTGGCTGCAGCCCAGGAGATGGACAAGCTACCAGCCAGAGGTCCCAGGCTGCAGCCACCCGGGGAAGCTACCAGCCCTGTGGTCCAGGGCCCCAGTGCCTGTGGCCAGGGAAACAGTTTCCCTCTTCTCCTACTGTAGTCATTACTTCAATATTCCCCTTCTGAATTTCTCTCCTGTGCTGCAACCCAACTCCACTTTTCATCGGAAGGACACAGAACAGAGAGAGCAATGTTAAAAGCTTACATTTTTAAGCCGGTAAGGTTGGTACTTAAACATATAAATGGGAAACTGGAGTCTTTAAGGTAACAAAGGCTACAAAGGACAGGGACAGCGCATGACATATTATATCCAGCAATCCATATGGGGACTGAAAACTTTGCAATGATGACAATTACTGAAGGTATGAATCAACTAAAATAGATGACAGGGACAATTCTTCCATCTTTGAAAATATCTACATCAAATCTGTTTAAATAGATTTTCATCTGACAAGACCACCACCACCACCAATGTGGTCAGTGTTTTGCCGTAAAATGTTTAATAACTGAGGGACCCCACCCACCCCCCGAGAGCACAAATTTTGTGCACTGGGCTACTAGTATATATATAAAAAGCTAGTGACCGGAATGCCAAACAACCAGAACTACCGGTCGCTATGACATCCACTGCAGCCAGCTAACAGGCCAGATCAGGGGGTGGGGCCAGCTGGCCAACCTTCCATGGCCCCTCCCCCCGGCCGGCCCTGCCCATGATCGGCCTCTCCCAACCCCACTGAGGGCAGGGCAGCCGGCCAACCGCCCTGTGGCCCCGCCCCTGATCAGCTGGCAGACCCTCTCCCTGGACAGCCCCATTCCTGATTGCCCTGCCCACCCCAATAAGGGGGCTGGGCCAGCCAGCCAACTTCCTGCTGCCCCTCCCCCCAACTGGGCCCACACCACCCCGATAGGCTTGCAGCCCCTCCCCCCCAGTCGGCCCTGCCCCTGACTGCTGCCCCCTACCCCAATAGGGGGTGGAGCTGGCTGGCCAACCTCCTGCAGACCCTTCCCCAGCTGGC